TTCATCGGATAGAACTTCCGATATTCATAGTCAATTCTTATTTTAAGATCGTCAAATACTTAAGATGTCATGAACCAATCACGCAGATTCGAAATAGTCTTGAAATAAGAATGGACTAAATACCGGTTTTGATGATCCTAAGACCATTTCTAATTTTTAAATGATATAATGATTTAGAATAATTTTGTTTCACACAATTTTATTTTTTATAGTTTTGTTCCATTTATATAGATTAATTACCTATATATTTATCCTCTAAATTGAAGTATTGTAATTTGTTTATATAATTTAAAATTTTAAAACTTACTACTACCAAAAATATGTGTTCTTGTTATGGATTAGAGAGATGTGTATAGATTCTCAAATATCTGTTTAATTATATTAATGATAGTTTTTAGAGAAATATGATGTTCATGTTAACGGACTTGAAAAAATTTAACTGCGAACTTGTTTCGGGAGAAAACACCAACTCATTAAGTGTATTGCTACAAGGGGAACTATTTCGAAGATGACGGGAACCATTAGTGAGTAACTAATTGAGGGGTTCCGAGGTAAAACCCAGTAAACTCGAGTAACAGACATTTATGCAAATGTCAGTTACCTGATTTTACGTCCGAACCCCTTAATTAAACACAGTTGTCAGGTGGACATTCCAAGAACTTGGAAGTCAGAGTTAAAGAAAATCATACATTAGCGTGTGGAACATTTATGGCGTTTTTAAATAGTCAAGTTGAAAGTTTCTGTAATGAACAGTAGTAGGATATCCCGTGTTATTTATTTAGACAGACTGAAAGTTTTACGCCGTTTATATAAAAAACAGAATAAAACAATATAAAGAGAAAAACAAATAAACTTCAATAAAAAAACAATCCTTTTGGCATCAATTCGTTACGTAGGGAATTAATATAAAATATTTTTTATCGTTAGATTTATGGGAAATAATCACCTGTCGAATAATTCCTTTGCTTCTCGCCTTGCGTGCATACACAATTATCCTTTCAAAATCCGTAAAAGCGTTCTATTCTCGTACGCCTGTTATTATCCACCTCTCTCTCTCTCTCTCCTCTCTCTATTCTCTCTCGTTTCCATTTTAAAATTGTTCATTTAAAAGCTTACCTCAAACCCTATCCGGAGCCACACATGTAGCTGGACGCGGTCAAGCACCGTTTCGTTATGTTTTCTCAGGATTCTCTCCGTCTCGCACCGCGCGTCGCGCGATGCGTCGCGATGCGTCGCGTCACCCAACGCGTTGTCGACCGGATCTCGCGCGTCGGCCACGTGACGTGGCACGTATACGCGAGCGTCGGCAGGCGTCGAGACGCCGCCGGAAAAGGGGCGTCCGCGGCTTTATGTTCCCGTTGGGAATTCCGTTCTCATGCCTCACGGCGTTTCGTTTCACGTCGACGTCCCGACGCTGCACGTGAAACTACCGTGCCGGTACATGCACACGCACACATACGTACGCGTGGAACGTGCGCGCATGTTCAAAGCCGTACTGTCAGGCCGGACACGAAACTTTGCCGGATCGCCTGCCGTGATCCGCGAGTCACGAGACGCGATACGCGTGTCAGGATCGGCTCCGCGAGACGATCGCGTGCGCAGATGTATTAGCAGATTGTTGTTGCAATTTAACGTTATGTGATTAGCGTGGCGCACGGCGTGTGTGAGCACTTAGTAAATTGGCTCAAATCAAATAGTAACGATATTTGTAATTAGAGGCATCTTAATTTTAAAATATATGCAAGTGTTTTTGCGCGTGCAGCTTTTTCGTTCAGTAATCTCGTATTTGAGTAATCTAAGTTTAGCCTAATTTGACGATAACGCTTTTAAAATAATTTAAATCTCAGGACTTATATTTAGGACCTCACATATGCAAATATCTGCAGCTCATGTGCATAGATAATAATATATATATCTATATATATATAATAGATAATAATAGCTTTATTGAAGTACGGAGAAAAGAAATTAACACACAGATTAGCATGTTCGAAAGAATAAAATCTGATGGTTATAGGTGGTCTCTCGAAAAAGATAAGGCAATATTGCTGTACATATAAACCCAAACTTTAATAAAATGCAATTTGTATAATAATTTAATGCATATGTATGAGAGATGTACAATAGATGCATGGAGAGTCGCGAGGATAGACATAAAAATTAAGCAATGAATGGAATAAATATATTCGCAGAACAATTCGCACAGAAACACTGGAATTTGACAGTCTTAGGTAAACGTGTAAGTAATAAAAGAACAAAGAAAGAAAAAAGCGTAGCAAAACATACATCATACTTAGAAATGATACATCATATTTAAAAATGAGAAGCAACATAGAGAAATGCGGACGTTCTAAAAGAAGAGAGAAATGAGGATGAGCGGATGTCACTTGGTAATAAGTTAAAATATTTAACTTCAGCGTATAGGAGAAGATTTATATTAGAATGTGCGATGGAGAAGATAAGATAATGATGATTGAGAGCGAGTGGTTGACAATGTAAGAATGCATGAAGTTCATGATTATAATCGAAGCAATCTCATGTAAATGAGATGGATTTTCGCAAGGCGTTAAATACTAAACAGCATGATATATGTATATTCAGCCTGAGGTCTGAAACAGTAGGATTAAATAATCAAATTTTTTTAGCATCGAATACCAAATAAAGGAACACAGAAAGAACAATTTTACTGAGAAGTATTAAAAAATTTAGTTAAATATAAATCTGGAAATAATTTTATGTAGTAAAATAATTATGTAGAAAAACTTAAGCATGAGTGACGCTAAAAAGTTTTGATATTTTAGCGGTCAGCTTGAGTGTAATTATTTTTATGGTCCAACGAAATTTATACGTTCAGATTTGTATCTAGCTAAATTTTATACTTCTACAAAACTGTTCTTTCCGATTGCATGAGCTTTCAATACGATGAATCTGTTTTCACACTTGACTATTCAGATTTGGTGTATAAACGGTGTCAGCGTAATCAAATAGAGAAAGGACGAACATTTGGGAAACGAGAAGCTTTTGTGGAAGGAAGAGAACATAGTCGAGAGGGTATAACGGTATAACATACGCGAGACGTGTATAAGTAGCTTTACATTTGATGGTTATATGGTGGTCGAAAGATCATACGGAGTTGAAGTGTACGCCAAATAGTTGGTGGGGATATAATAGGAATAGAATTTAAGGAAACATTAAACCATGGAGCATGTATGGTATATCAATTAACAATCATATGCTAAATCAATCATTTAACCAATAAAATTTATGGAGAATTATAAATTAATTAATTTTATTATGCCTTCTACAATACAGATCATTTACTTAATCTTATTTTCATTATCTTTCGTTTTAAAGATAAAACTATTTATCTGTTTCGACGTGCGAAATAAAAATATTTGCAATTTGTTACCTTATGTACAGTATACAACTCAATTTTGACGAAATTTTAGAGAGTCAATGTTTCTTCAATAAAAATACTATCTGTTTTTTAATTGTGTGTAAGTCATAATAATTAAAGACGTATTTAAGCAACTTGAGACTCTCAAAAACTATATGTAGAGATTTCAATATCTTTGTTTAGAAAATATCGAAATTACAAGATATATGAGAGAAGTGATTTTGATCGCCATACTCTTATAACTTTACGTTTTACTGTCAGTTATTCTTACGTTTTTATGTTAGTCATAAAAAAAAATTTCTCCACTGTGGTTCGAGCGGATACATCAGACATAACGTGTGAGAGAATCGCGTCGATGACGAGGAATTTAAAGTTTGTTCGTGAAATTCGAGCATCTTCACGCCGCGCCGAGGTATGCGCCAAATACGAGCACCCTCGAATTTAAGGATGCTCGAACAACTGTTGCGTGCATCCTTCGCAGCTTCTTCCGCGTCGTCTCGTCTTCCGCACGACTGCTCGTGCAGCATGCGTCGCGGCGCATCGCATCGCGCCGCGTCGCTCCGCTCCGCTTTACCCTGCTTCGGAATATGCGCGGCGGGTTCGCGCGTGCGAGAGGTCGCCGCGGGCGGACGGGGACGGCCGACGTCGCGACGCACGGCGTCGCGGCAACGGGTGCCGAGCGCCGCACCGTCAGTTTGCGTCTGCCTAGGGTCGCGACGTCCTCGCTTCCACGTAGCATTGAGATCGCGCCTTACCGTTTCGTGTACGCGATCGAACACCGGACGGTCGACGACGTCACCGTTAACGACGTCCCAACGAGGGACGCTGGCAATCATAACGTTCCGATCGTGATCGATCGATAGATCAGAGCCACGTGACTGATCGCCGCCAACATCCTTTCTGCTTTCCGGCGATCAACCGATCGACTAACCGGTCCAGGGAAAGTTTGAGGGAATCCTCGGGTGTTCCGGGGTAACCTGAGAATTCTTAGAATTCTCCTAGGATCCTTGAGAGAGTCCTTGGAGAAGTTTGCGAGATAAGTCGGGACTTTGCTAACACTCCGAAAGCAACTCGGAGCGTCTGAGATATCTCGCGAAAGTTTAAGGAGACATAAGAAAGCTTGCAGATTTTTAGATAAGTTTACGAGATGGCGAATTAGTTTGTAAAAAGCTCGAAAGTCGCAAGTTTTTAAGGAAGTAGATCTCGAAATTTTGAGACGTGTGGAGCAGTTGGGAAGTGTTCGGGACATTATCGAGAGCCACTGAAAGCTCTGACAAGTTTGCAAGAATCTTCGGACATCTCGCAGCGAGGACCAGAAATTCTTCAGCGATCTGCGAAAATTTTTATAAAAGATCTAACACAATTTCAGTTTCAGCTTCTGAGACTCGTGTTCCAAGGTTACCGAATAACTTTTTGCGTCGCGTAGATTTTTGGTCACGTGGCCGCAGAGTTGCAAAACCTTCGAGGCTCTACTCGAAAAGTGTGCATCGTGTTTTACAGTCAAGGGAGGACTTTCTTGACTCACATCGCTATTTTTATAAAATTTAAAGGAAGACTGTCCAATCAAAAAGTAAAAATTAAATTAATAAAGAATTAACTTATCTGGTGTCTCACACATCTTACAATCTATCAATTTATTATCGAGGACTTTCTACGAGACCTCCATCACAAATTCTCAGCTGACGAGTGTTTCTCTAGGACTCTGAATCTTCACCGGAGGATATTTTCACTCCGCGATTCGAGAACCTTAAAGTGAAAAGGCTTGACGTTTAAAAGGTTTCTGGTTATATCCTGCCCCGTCATGATTTCGAAGAGTTCTGTTTGAACAGTCCTGAATACAGTAAGAACGACATAAGTGGAATTATCGGAGACCAATAAGGTCTTGAAGTTGATCGATCTACGGCCGATATTTTTGAAGAATCGGTGAATTCAATTCATCGACTCGTGGAGACAGAAGGTAGATGGATCTATTTTGATATCTGACAGAACTGTTCTCTCTCTCAGCTACATAAATTTCGGTGAGTAATAATGATCTTTAATTGTATTTACGTTATCGAATACACTGGACAATTTGTGTTAAATTTAACACATTTTGTGTGCCCCAAATGATCCACTAAAATTCTTTAGTTAATTTAATAAAAGATGAATATATAGAAAGTAACACAAATATGTAAAAAATTAACATAAAAATATAATACATATTGATACAATTTGTAAGTAAACTGTAGAGGCATATTTTTTCATTAGACTTGTATAATATATGTTAAATTAATACATATTTTATTCATTTATCTTGTTATAGAATTTACTTCTTAAAACACTGTTTTACTTACACACATAAATTGTAGTGTTTTTACAGAAATGTGAAATACCAATTTAACACATATTCAAATAACATAATCACATTATGTTAATTTAATACTTGGATATATTAACAGTTCCATAGAAAATTTTAACAAGACTTAAGTGGATTGTTTCTAATATAAATACAAAATGTTTTTGACTGCGTAAGAGCATATATCTATAGAAATAGAAATTTTTATATAATAATCAAAACATTATTATTAGTGTATTGATATATTATAAACGTTACTGTATAAATTATGCATTTTTAAGAGAAAAAGATTATATCTGAAAAATTTATTCACGTGTGAGTAAAAAATACAATTTTTATAATATATGGATATGTGTTACAATTTTATCAAAAAATCTTAATATTCTTCGCATTTAACCCTTGTTTTAAAATTTAAGCATTCAAAGTATAAAAAAATACTGAAAAATATTTTTGTTAATCCAAGAGCAATTTAAATTTAAACGCATAAAATCCAAACGCATTTACGGATTCATAGAATTTTTATCGTGTAATTTATTACACACCCCATACTGCATCCTCGAATATATACCGCCTGGTATTGTCACTTGTTTCGAGCGACGTAGTTTTACATAGTAATAACATAAATATTCAAAAATATCCACAGATATAAAATATTTCAAAAACCGGACTAATAAAATAAATATCCGAGTAAAATGTAAAAAGAATCCTCAAAATGTTCGTGGATATTTAGTCTTCTAAAAATTACGATTATATTTATGTAATGCTATCCAAACGAGACATGGGTATCAAAAGCGAAAGAGAAGTTAGATATTTCGCAATATCTGTTTGTCTATTTATAAATTCGAAATGTTCAAAATCTGAACGCATTTACGGATTAGCGAGCTTTAATCGTGCCATTTATTACCACGTGCCACGTTATATCCTCGAACGTACACCCCGCCGTATTGTCGTTTGTTCCAAGCAACGAGTTAGATTACTGTTGGGTGAACTTCACAACTTAATTCTCTTTCGCGTCGCAGCAGCTGCGAATATCAGTCTACGCGATTGCTCGCGAGCTTACGCGTCTCACTCGCAAAATCTCCGGCTCGGATGAGCTCCGGCGCGACTCGCAAAACTTGGCACTAAACTCCCGCATTACCCTTGTCGTTCGCTCTCGCAGACTAGATGACGGGTATATACTCGCTGTACTAAAACTCGCTGCCGGAAAATTCGTTATCAATTTCTGCTTATCGGGACGTGCCGTCGCTACCTTGAATAAGGACCCGTTCATCCGCTCGGACGAGCCTGGAGAGCGTGCGCGGAGGATTAACTTGAAATCAGCGCCGCGGCGTGTACTGATTAACAATCGTAATTAAATTCTTTCCACGCTAATGACTGCTGGCACTTGAGCTCCGTGCAAATGATATTTAAATTAGTACGCGTCCTGTATACTAATCAAAGCAGAACCTCTCCTCACGCCACGGACGTGCTCCCTTTCACCCAAATTATTAATTAATATCGCATTACGATCGCATCAACTTTCCGTGATTTATCTGGGAAAAATTGGATACTCGGGAAAATCATTTAAATAATAATCTCGATAACCTTGTTTTCACAGAAAATTATTACTACCCTTATGTTCGTAATAAGTAATTTCTTATCGATTCCAGTCGACTTCAACAAACACCGAAGATAAAAATATACTTTTCAGCAAAGAAGCGGAAAAGTATATAAAATTAGAAATCACAGTTTCAAGTTTTTGTCAAAACGTAAACTGTTAATATAAAATTTGGCGATTTCAATTCAGATTAATTTTCTTAGTAAAAAATTAAAACGAAACTTTTTTAAATCTTTTAGCTTTAAACAACTAATATAATGAAATAAGGGCAATGAGCCAATTTTCATTAAAATCTTTAAATCAATCTAATATATTGCGAAGAATATCACGTAATTATGGCGTTTCGTCCCAACTTCCACTACTGGACTCATCAGTAAGGCATTGTAGTGGAAGCCTATCTTAGACGCCTGTTTTAGTTATTAAATCGAGATTCTATATATACAGATATACGCGTATCAAAGCACTTGCGAGAATCTTAGCGAATATCTATAGACCTCTGATCGACGTAGTAATATTCTTCGCAATATATTATTCAAAGTAATATATGTATATGTATTTCCTTCCCACCCCCCCCAACTTGCGCGCCGAACAATCGTCGGTCTTGAAACGCAACTCTATCTGAAAATTCCCCCCCAAATTGCGCGCCGAACTATCTTCGGTCTTGAAACGCAACTCTAATAATCTGAAAAAACGTCCCCTTAATTTACTTGAAATTTAAACGCATTGATTTCGCCCGCGTAAATTAAATATTTATGATAAGGCTCAATAGGTATTAAACAACTAATATAATGAAATAAGGGCAATGAGCCAATTTTCATTAAAATCTTTAAATCAATCTAATTTTCTTTTAGTTTTACCTTAAAAATATTTTATATATAAACAAATGCCTCAAAATATCTCATTCAAATAATCTTTCCAAAATTACATGATTCGAGGAATGTATTATTCAAAGTCGCGTGAATATTTTGGTCTATAACGGACTATTTTGGACTCATCTTATACGAAGGTGGAGGCAATATTTCACGCGATTTATTAGAAGTATGTTTATGAAACGAGGATAAGTGGCTTTTTCGATAAATAATCATGATTGTTTACACAAGGTTTTGCGAGCACTGCGGTTCTTTCGCTAAAACAACCGCCAGTATCTACATACAAAAATTTTTCAGGGGCTAAAAAAAACAATCAATCGCGAAATTGATGTTAACCAAAAGCTTTATTTTATACAAGAACAAATTTTTGAAAGAAATTAATAAAATTATTTTGTTATTACAAGTAAAAAATAATGTTTAATTAAATATTGTTTAAAATTTCGATTCTCTTCTTCTTTTTCTTTTTTGCTCTCTTTTTCTAAAAATAATTAAAATATGAATGAAAATATACGATAGATATGAATTTATTATAAATGAAAAATTTTTGAATAAATGTAAATGCAAATAGGACCAAAACACTGATATGATAAATTAGTCTTTTCTTCAAATAATTAAGTTTTCATAGTCTTTTTTACCACTAATTTTGATCATTATCAGCCGTACAATTACCGTTTAATATTAATTGGTGATAATTTACGAGTATAAAACACTAGCCTTAGTGATTTTGTATCAATGAGTTGTAAATTTTATGATGTAATTAATACGGTCCTTTTTACGGAAATATGTCAATATAAGCTCAGTATTCAGAATGAGCTAACAAAGTTCCACAGGTATGTCTGTCGAATATTAATAGATGATTTCAAAGCACATTCCAATGGGATTGGTTAATCACGCATATAGAATTTTATCAAAACGTTGTGAATACAGAGACAATGAATTTTGAATTTTGATATACATATAATGGATTTCTACATTAACTTTTATATAACTACTTTATAAATTTAAATATAAAATATTGATTTAATTTATTTCAAAAGTTACTCTCTAACAAATAAATAAAAATGCAATATTTTTTTTTAAATTAAAATCAAGAATAATATTAAAAATATAAGAGTTCAATTAAGATTATTTTTACTTCTTAAAATGGGAACTTATGTATTATGTATGTATAAGAGTATGTATTCTGATTATGCTCATTATAATTACGCGATTTTGACTTGTTTTACATAAATGTAAGACTAAACATAAAATATTTATAGTAGTAAAGTTATATTAATAAAACGATGATACGGACAAGATGTAATATGTAGTTTCGCAAAATGTAAATAATTCGAAAGAGCATAATATGTTTCCTGAAGTACTCGAGTTCTGTACATGCGGTACAACATTCGCGTGCAATATTAAATATAAACTGAAACAACACATTTCTACAGGCTGGATAAAATGCAACAACGTAGTCCGAATGGCGGCAAAAGCAGCTGCATTCCAGCTGCGCAGAAGTGCATCTCAAATGCAGCTGGTCGGCTGCGCAACATTCCGTAATAGCTGCGGTCATTTTGAACACGCTGGGTTAGCCAGGAATGTTAATAGAAAATACTCGGTGTCTCCAGACTTTAATTATGAGGCGCGAATGGTGATCGCGAGGGAGTTGGGATAAAGGGGCGAGATGGTGTAAATGTGGGTTGACGCAAGAAGGGAGGAGAATAGGATCCTCCTCTTCCGCGAAGCCTCGAATTACACAGAGGGTGAAAATCGTGCCGCTTATTCAACGGAAGCGTCACATTTACAACAAAGAAAGTATCGAGAATTGACAAGATCTTTTGGACTGTTCGCGAGATATTGGAACAAAACAGCAAACTCGGAAGAATTCTGAGCGTCTTAAGGAAAATACGTCGCGTGCGCGGAAGGACCTCGAGAGAGTAAGAAAAACACAGAGATCCGAATGGAAGAGAGAAATGCAAAAAATCGAAATGAGTCGTGGGAAAGATCACAAGAAACTAGATGAGAATGAAAGAAAGAATAGGAAGATAAGGTGAACACGACGAATGTCATTTGGGAGTCTGTCTCTTCCCTTCGCCCTCTCGACTTCGCGTCGAGTCGATTTTCAAGGTTGATCTTCGAAACGAGTCGTCGGTGCCGCAACGTTAAATCCGCGATTAAAATGCATTGCGTAAAATCAGAAGGGCGGCCTGCACTCCGTTTCGTTTCTGCGCGGCG